AGATTGAATGTAGAGGCAGATACGAGAATCCCGTTGTCTTCTGTTAAGTCACACATTAACGTGATTTGCAAAAATGTAAAACAGTGGTTCTGTTCTTGCTCCATTTTTTTGTTGTTTTGGGAAATACAGTTATTTTTCATTAAAATATTTATGTTAACATTTTTGTTATGTATTTATTTATGTAATGGGTTTGTTATTTTTAAATAAATACATGATCTTAGTGTTTTTCAGTTTTAATTTATAATACCCTAAATATTGATAGCTATAATCCACATAAATAAAAGCTTTTTTTTTTCCCTCAATAATCTTTTTTTTTTAATTGGGGAACAGTGTGTTTTTCCAGGACCCATCAACTCCAAGTCATGTAGTTGTTTCAATCTAGTTGTGGACGGCGCATCTCAGTGGCCCATGTGGGGAGCAAACCGGCAACCTTGGTGTTATGAGCACTGCGCTCTAACCAACTGAGCTAACGGGTCGCCCCTAATAATTTTTAAAAATGTAAAAGGGCCCTAAGACCAAAAGGTACGAAAACCAAATCAATAAAATCAGAATAATATCAGCCCTATGTACTTTAGCTTGGTTGTTATAGCATCAGATGAGACCCTTTAAAAGGCATGAGATGTGATGCAAATATAAGATCTGTCGTTATTACTGCCATTAATCATGACTTTTTTTTAAAGATGGAACACATTAAGCGTGCAAACCGCCTTTATACTAATGACTCCATCTTCCTGAAGAAAACCCTCTACATCCCCATCCTGACAGAGCCCAGAGACTTGTTCAATGGTTTGGATTCTGAGGAAGAGAAAGATGGAGAGGAAGAGGTACAGCCAAGTAAGGATCAAGATCTGCCACGCTCAGCCGAGAGGAAGAAAAAAGAGACAGGTTCAGGCCGCGCCCATGGGGACGGCCCTCCCACACCTGGCCAGGAAGCCCCCACTCCCATCCATGACCTCTCTGCCTCGGACTTCCTCAAGAAGCTCGATTCACAGATCAGCCTGTCCAAGAAGGCTGCTGCCCAGAAGCTGAAAAAAGGGGAAAGCGGGTGAGTCTTGAATGGCGCCTTTTCAGCCCCTCCATAGACTTCTCCGTTTTTCCAGCCTTACCTGACCAGACACACAAGTAAGCACAGTGTCAGCATAAGCCAGGTGAAGCCTTTCCGCCAGGGGCTGCCGGGACGGGCAGGGGCAGTGGGAAACGGTTCTGTGTTCTCGCTGGCGTAACATGCTTGACTGTCCTTACTGCTCTGATAATCCGTGAAAGAGCAGTGGGTGAGGATTTAGCCTTCGGACACCCAGCTCCGCGGGTTTAGAGAAGAGCAGCTTCCTCTTCACGTGGCCCCTTCTCAGGTTCTTAACCTTGACCTGTCACTCTTTCTCCCCCTTGCTTACCGGCAGGGTACCTGGGGAGGATTCAGGCCTTCACCTGAGCTCCCCTCAGATGCAGCAACGAGCAGTCCTAGGTCCCGTGCCGCTGACCCGGACCTCTCGAACCCGGACACTTCGGGACCAGGAGGATGAAATCTTCAAACTCTGATGTCCCCCGAACTGATTGAGAGAAGCAAGACGTTGAAGAAGCAACTCGAAGGGGAGAGGAGCCTGAGGTGAGGCTCAGGGACACGGCTTCCCAACCCACCTGCCTCGCTCCTGCCGTCTTCCTCGAGCTGTCTGTCAAGAGCTCCTTGGCCTGGGGCAGTTTTATTGTCAAGAGTAGGGGATGGGAGCTAGGCCCCCTCCTCCGTTCTCAGGCTGAATCTAGAGTTGTTCCTTAGATTCAAAAGGCTCTTTACATCCCCGCTGCCTTTCCCATCCCTGTCACCATTCCTTGGCCTTAGAGCAGGGAGGCGGGGACACCCCCAGCCCCCAACTTCCTCCCCATCTCCAACTATATTACCTAATTTATTTGGTGCTATATTGAAGTAATATTTATTTTCTGTATCTTATTCTTCCCCACTCTTAGCTAAAAAACAGGATTTCTCTAGCCCTGGGGTGAGGGGAACCCCAGAACAATGAGCCAGTGGCTACTGGCTCCCCATCTCCCCCACCCTCTTAGCTAAGCCTGTTATGAGGACGGGGCAGTCGGTGATCGAACCCACTGCAGAAATGGCGGACTGCCGAGCCTGTTCCCCAATCTCAAAGTAAAGAATTTGGGCTCAGTCCTGACTAACCAATTCACTGTAAGTTTTTCACAACTCTTGCTCTGAGACAAAACAGGGATGTGTGGGGACCGGAACTCCCCATGCCACCAGTTCACCCTTCTAAGCTGCTCTCCTGTTCAGCCTGTGTGAGCCTAGGGGATGGGAGATTTGCCTTGGAATTCAAAGAGGAGGGCAGTTGCGGGGTTATTTTTGTGGTGGGAGTCTTTTTGTTAGAACCCTTTCCCACCACAGCCTGTTCATCTCTACCTTGCCCCTCACTGTGTATTTTATCTGCAGTACAGTTTTTTGGAGTTTCTTAAACAGAAGTAGGCAAGGGAACCCCAATGATACTTCAGCTATGCCTCAGTCTCCTGTGTGGAAATGGTGAGTGGTGAGATAAGTGGTGTTGCTATATGTATACCTCTTTCCTCCATGATGATCATAAGATACCAGAAGCTGGAGACAGTAAACGTTGAGCCCTGTGCATGTTTTAGTAGTTTTATTTCCCTGGGAGACTGTCCCCTGCCCTCTCCCCTTCTTCCTGCACCCTGGGACAGAGCCTCTGGAACCTGTCCAGGCTCTGCCTAGAGCTGGAGGTCTGGGGTGTCTCTAAGGGTCCCCTTCCCCCTGTCTTCAGTGTCCCCAGAGGGGTTAAACGGGCTATGCCCTCTTCCCCTGGCTCCTAGGGGAGGGGGCTTCCCTGCTTCAGACATCCCTTATGGGGGAAATAAGAGAGCCAAGTTTCACTTCATCTTTTCAGGCGGCTTTGTTTCCTGTCCTGGGGCTGGAGTGGGAGAGAGGCCTCACGTCTCAGCATCACTTCTCCTTCCCAGCAGTGTGGGGGTGGCGTGGTCGCAGAGTCACAAGCACTCTAGGGAAAGGCTGAAGCCTGAGGCCTGGAAAGCGTTAGTGCAGGGAGCAGGGTTAGAAAGCCCGTTAGCTCTTGCCTCTCAGTCGGCCCTTGTCCCAAGGTGGAGTGTGCCTGGCCCGGCGCTCAGAGCTTCCCCTCGTCCAGCATCTTCCTGAGCCCGTCACAGATCTTGCCAAGGTGCTGAGTGAAATCGGGCCCGTAGAGGGCCGTGAGCAGGCCCGGGTCAGAGAAGTGGTCGAACACGTGACGGATGCGGTTGTGGGACTTGGGTGTCAGGTGGCGCTCCACCAGCTCGAGCAGTATGTCCCGGCACTCGGTCAGCAGCCCGGCCAGCACGGCGGCCTCGAAGGTGAAGTCCACCTCGCCGAAGCTGAGCGCTGTCATGGCGCCCTGCTGCAGCTTTTGGCGAAAGCGGGTGGCTAGGGCCAGCTCACTGGGGCCAAAGCAGCCACTGCGGTGCAGCACGGCCACCTTGACGGCCACCTTGATCAGGTCCTTGATGACCCGCTGGGCCTGGGGCCGGCTGTGCGTGTATTCTTTGGACACACGGTACAGCTCGTCCAGCACCTCGCTGCTTGTCTCGTCAATGAAGAGATGAGCCACGGACCGACCTGCCATCTTACTCAGCAGCTTCTTCTCCGCTTGCATGGCCAGACTCTTTGAGCTGAAGGACTCCATGGTTCCTGGGAAAGGGGTGGGAGTGGGGCTGTGTGGTCAGTCAAAGCAGAAAGGCCACAGGCTTCCTGAGAAAGAGAAGGGCTTTTCCCCTTCCTGCCTCTTCTTTGGTTTCTATCTCATCATCCTTTTTGCTTGTCATCTCCTTGTCCCTGGGCCCCTCTGTCCCCTATGCTGGTTCCTATTTTTTTCCTTTTAACGCTGTAAGAAATCTTGAGCCCTAACGCAGCCCATAGGAGCAGAAATGGCTTTGGCTGGAGGAATGAAGGTGCACGGAGGCTGGCCCACCACAAGTTACGTCTCAAGGTGGAAGGAGGCCATTGCTGCTCCAGTGGAGAAGATATAAGACTTACCTGGCGCTGGCAGGGATTGTCCCAGCCACCGTTTTTGGACACTGATTGGGTACCAGACATCTGTGAGGTGTACATATTTCTATCCTTGTTTTATAGCTGAGCAAACAGGCTTACGTTAAATAATTTACCCAAGGTCAAACACAATTGTTTCTGACTCCCAAAGCCCATGCCAGCTAGTGTGATGTACTTCCTTTAAATAAGTGAGAAATACGGGGATCCCAGGAGTCCTGAGAAAAATAATTGCCAACCTCGGAAACCTGCTGTGTGCCGAGTGCTATATGTGAACTATCTCAGTCTTCTCAACCCTTTGTGAGGTAGGTGTCCCCATTTTGCAGTGAGAAAACCGAAGCTATGAGAAATTAAGCAACTTGGCCAAAGTCACTAACTAGCAAATGATAAAAATGGGCTTCAGACCAAAGAATCCAAAGAAACCTGGTTCCCTGGATTGCTCGCAATGTGAGAAGCAAGCACCTGTCGTGGGGTGGGGGGGTGAGGGGCGGGGGATGGGGAGGCAGGCAGTACTAAAGGTCTAAGGTCTCCTGCCAGGGCTCAGCTGGGGACCCTCCTGGGGGTCCCGTCAGGGGCACATGACCAAGGATCTCTGCCTGTGCCTGTGGTTCGGGTTGTTTTGCTTCTTACTTCCCCCTCCCCAGCTCTGCAGGATGTGGCTATGACCGCAGCGAGGAGCAGCCTCACCCTCTCCCCCAAACCCAGATGGGTGTGTAAGAGGCAGGGGCAGGGGTACCCTGGGGGATTCTTGCCCAGCTCCGTGGGCCCAGTGGGAGCCTGGAACCTCACTTCGCTCCTGGCTTTGCCTGGGGCTTCCTGAACGCCGCTCCGCAGCCGGAAGAGCAGATTGCTCCATGCGGGCCTTCCTTCCTCCTGGGCCTTCCTGTTGCCGGCTCTCCGTTGTCCCCCTTGCCATCCAACTCGGCCCACCATCCTCTCCCTCTCACCGTGCCTGAGTCTCCCTTCTCTTGTCCGGGTCCTGCCCTGTGGTCCTCTGGCCATGCTCTCCTGCTGGCCCTCACATTCACCTCCATGTCTCCTCAGTCTCCTTGCATCTCTCAGTATTTGGTCACACATCCATCTCCACCTCCAGGCCTCAGCCTTGTCCCCGCCACATCCCAAACCACATCTGTCTCTCTCAGGCTGCCTTGTCCCAGAGGAAACTGAGCTGGACCCCTCCACTAGGGACCCAAGAATTCTATCAAGTGAGAGTCACAATATGGAAAGCTCAGGCAGTTGGAGCCGGGACTCTTCTGCCACCATCACCCCTAAAGCCGCCCCTTCTGTCATTGCATGTCAGTCCCTCACCTGCGGCGTACCGGGTGCCAGTCTTGCCTTGGATGTTCCGGGAGAGCTGATAGAATGGAGAAGCTCCTAAGTGAGAAGCCCTTTGGCCCGGCCCCACCCCTCAGGCCCCGCCTACCTACTCTCCTCCACCTCCGTGTCTTCATGCTGTCACCCAGAAGGTCTCCGGCCCAAGAGCCTCCTAGAAATAAGACAAAGGTCAAAAGGAATAGCAAATAGTCTGGACTCTAGGAAATCATGTCGATTCTTTGAGGCGAGGAGGAGAGATTGCACATACGCTGCTCTCAGGTTGTTTGTCTTTCTTTCCTTGCCGCCCAGTTCCTTGAGATCTTGTTCTCCTTATATTTCTGGCACTGGGAAGGATATCAAGTACAAATTGCCGGGGGGGGGTGGCGGCCAGTGAGGAAAGTTGTGCTCTGAGCTGACCTTAGGCTGGAGATGCCAGAGGCAAACCAGAGACCAGCAGGTCCCAGTGTGTCGCTGGCGTGTCCAGCGAAGGGACATGAGCATATGCTTCCAGTGCCTGGCTGGGCAAGGGTGGCACAGACCGTCCCCTCCCTCAACACTGGAGAGAGGAAAGCGCTGAGGCCAGGGCTGCCGGACCAGACGCGACCAGCAGGTGTCAGCACAGCACTGACCACAGAGGAAACGCCTACTGAATGCTTTGTAGCTGCTAAAGAGATAAAAATGGGGGTCAGCTAGAGTTCCTGAATGAGGCAAAACTATCAAGAACCTTACAGCCTGCTCAGGGAGATACATGTAGATAACTGGAATAGTCAAACGATGGCATTAGCTTTCATAAAAGTTTAAAGAATTATGAGAGTAAAGAGAAGCTTCGGTTATTTTTGATAGAAGGGCTGAAGAGGTAGATGTAGAAGGATGATGGATTGAACTATTTAATGGGCAGAGATGAGGAAGAAGTGCTTCCCAGATGATGGGGAGAAGCATAAGCCCAGCAGTGAATAAAGATCATACAGGGCAGGGAGCATTTAAGATCTTTGTCTCCCGGCATTGTTACCAGTTTGGCTCAAATAAAATCTTATTTAAAAAAAAAAATGATCACAAAGATGGCGCCAAAAGCAGAGAAGGAAACCTGGGCCCCTGCCAAAGCCAAAGCCAAAGCCAAGGCTCTGAAAGTAAGGAAAGCAGTGCTGAGAGGCGTCCCCAGCCACAAAAATAAGAAGATCCACATGTCACTTACCTTTCGAAGACCCAAGACACTGTGGCTCCGAAGGCAGCCCAAATATCCGGGAGGAGTGTCCCCAGGAGAAACAAGCTTGACCACTGTGCCATCAAATTCCCCCTAACAACCGAGTCAGCCATGAAGAAGACAGAAGACAACAATACACTTGTGTTCATTGTGGATGTCAAGGCCAACAAGCACCAGATCATAGTCTGTGAAGAGGCTCTATGACATTGATGTGGCCAAAGTCAACACCCTGATCAGCCCTGATGGAGAGAAGAAGCCATATGTTTGACATGATGCTTTGGAATCATCTAAACTGAGCCCAGCTGGCTAATTCTAAATACTAAAAATTTTCACTATAAGGCCGGCCGAGTGGCTCGTTGGTTAAGAGTCGGCTTGGGACGCCAGCTCTGAGCAGCAGGGCCCTGGTTGGGATCCCACATTAAGGCCAGTGATGCTGCGCCCTCTACAGCGAAGATGGTGAACAACAGCTTCACCTGGAGCTGGGCTGCCGTAAGTCGCCAGCGACGGTATAGGCTGCAGTGGGGCTGCAGTGGGCTGCCGTGAGCTGCCATGAGGGGCCGTCCAATGGCCGGTGACCAATCTGCCTCAGCCGGAAAGAGCGAAATGATCATAATACCAACATGGGCCAGTGAAGCGACATCCTCCACAACTAAACTGAAGAACCAAAGGGCAGCAACTTGTCTGTTCTCCTTCCCCGATTCCCCAACGCTGTTTCCTCCCCCAATTCGCCAATAAAATCTTAAAAAAAAAAATTTTCACTGTAAAACAAACAAACAAACAAGAAAGATAACACAAGCCATAGTCAGGAAGTGGTGATTTATCCTGTATGTCTGGAACGTATGTTTCAGAGAGGGGTGAAGAAGGGAAAAGACCAGATCATGGAAGACCTTAAAGGAGTTGCTTAAGACTTCAGACTTTTGACGGCAGTGGAGAGACACTACACGTGTTTGGTCAGGAAAGTGAAATCATTAGCTCGGTGGGAATGGGTTAGAGGCTTCAACAGATTTTTATCTGAGGAAGGGATGTGCTGAAAAGGAAGTGATCAATGGTAGAGTTTGCTTATGCACAGGAGAGCTGAGGACAGACCCTGGGATTTGGTGATTTTACCAGAAAGTTCTAGCAGAAGGGGAAAGGATTGGAGTTGGCTGGTTGGGGAAAGCTGGAGAGTAAATTGAGGTTCAGAAGTGGAGGCAGGCAGCCTACCACTGACTCCTCCCAAACCCTTGGTCCTCCCCCTCGGAGACAGCAGTTGGGTCTCCACTTCCGACTCCCGCCTCTCTCGGCCCAGGGCCCAGAGCCCAGGGTCCTTGACACCACGTGGATGGACAGGGTTCACTCCTTCAAGGAATGTGGTGGTAAAGGGATGAACAGAAATGGAGACAGCTTTCGGGGATGGGGAGCTGGACTGAGAGAGACTATTTTTAGCCGAGAGTTGGAGGCCATTTGTAGGCTGAGAGGTAGGAGGCTTGGAAAATGCAAAGGAGAGATAATGCTTATAAATGGAGCAAGGTGTGTGTGTGTGTGTGGGGGGGGCAGGTGGGAAAGAACGGAGTAGGAATTCCGGGAGGGAAGTGAGAGGAGAAGGGAGCTAGCATTTGTGGGGTGCTGTCTGCTAGATGTTATGTCAATATCTCATCAACCCTCTGACACCCTCATGAATTAGATGTCGACATATCCTTTTTGCTACTGAAAAGGACTGAGCCTTAATGAGGTTAAATAATCTGTCCCCGAATTACAGAGCTAGTAAATGGCAGGCTGAAGACCTTGTCCTCTGCTTTTTCTGAGAATCACCTCACAAGGTTTTGAGGTAATAACTTCCACCCCCTAATTAATGTGGCAGCATTCCACACTCACATGCTCTATCAATGCACTGATCATACCCTGGGGACAAGAGTCAGTGGCACTACCAAAATCACAGGAAAAGTGAGAAGTCCTTTTTACTTAAAGGAAATGTCTAATCTAGTCGGAAAATTAGAAGGGGAGGGAAAAATACAAGAAGATGCAAATCAGTGATACTTTTTGAATCCAGAATTCTGCTCCTAGCTCCGGACCTGTTTACCCTCCTGCTTCACCCCTTGTCTGTCCCTTGTACTCTGCTCTACCTATGCTGTCACTGAGCTCCTCCACTACTCACCTCTGCAGGCGTCTCTCTCTCCCTCTCCTTTCACCTCTTCCTGTGCTCTGGACTTGCCCATTTCCTGTCTCTGTCTGAAACTCTTTTCCCATGCATACCTCTCCCTGCCGGGTGAATTCCTCCTGAACCTTCAGGATTCTTCTGTGAAGCCATCACCCTACATCACATCAGACCCATCTGTTACGTAATCCTACAGATCCGCATACCTCCCCTGTTACAATAATCACTCTTTGCTGTAATTTGTGATTTTATTACCTGCCTCTCCACTAGACTATAAACTCCATGAAGGCCTACTGTGCTCAGTACATATTTGCTGAGAGAATGAATTTAAAACACACCCAAGAAGCAGGACATAAGGGGGAAATGGTAGTAACATAACAGTCCCATGTAATGATGTTCATTTACTTCCTTCATGGGGAAGACTTTCTTTTATTTTCTCTTAATCTAAACCCATTTCTAGTAATCTTCTCTGAACCCACGGCATATAATTAGCAGCAAATTAAAAGAGAAAAGAGGAGCTTTTAGAGGCAACACTGATAACAATGAAAATTAACACAGCAAGGGAAAACAAAAAAAGCAATTGAAAATTGTAGCATTTTCGGCCACATAGAGCAGAAGCAAACAGTATGAAGCACATATATTCTAGACTTTGGAGTCCTCTCTATTTCCCTGGACAATTAAGTTCACAGGGCTTCCTCTGAGTAAGCAAGAAACTGGTTAAATGATGGCAACAGTTTTGGTGACAAAACGTTTCACTTACATTATCTTATTTGACCCTGGGAGGTAGGCAGGCAGAGCAAGTGTCCACTCCCAGATGACACACTCAGCCTTGGAGATAAGTGGTTTATCCAAAGCCATACTCTGGAGGTCAATGTGGGTCTTAATGACTCCTAGTGGCGTTCTTTCCACTATATAAGCCACAGGAAATTAGTAATAGCTTTCTTAACAATCTCTATTTGAAACAGTTAAAATGAAAATGTTTTGCACTTAATTAGGTAAACTTCAGCTATCTGGGAAAATACTCAGAATGAAACATTCTTTTATGTTTCTACTGAGCTGAGGCTTTTCTGAGGTTAGGATCAGAATTCTCATATCAGTTCAGGAAGAGAAAGTTCACATCTTTGATGCAGTTATTTCTTCCTCTACTTGCTGTTTGGAGCTAGGGGCTGGGGATACAAGATAAGAGAAGAGCTTCCTGTCTTTATTTTATTTATTTTATTTATTTTTTTAAAGATTTTATTGGGGAATTGGGGGAGGGCAACAGTGTTGGGGAATTGGGGAAGGGGACCAGCCAAGTTGTTGTTCTTCAGTTTTCGTTGTGGAGGGCTCCAGTCGCCATCTGACTGCCCGTCGGCAGCTCCTGGCCTCTATGCTCAAGGTGCTGTGTTCAATCTTAGTTGCGGGTGGGAGTAGCCACCATCCCATGCGGGAGTCGAACCAGCAACCTTGTTGTTAAGAGCGCAAGCTCTATCCACTGAGCCATCTGGGCGGCAGCCCAGTTCAAGGTGCCTAGTTCAGTCTTAGTTGCGGGTGGGCGTAGCCCACCACTGAACAGGCAATCTTGTTGTTACACCAGCTGAGCCATCCTGCCACCTGTTGGCAGCTCAGTGACAGCTCAGCTCGGGCGCAGCGTCACTGGCCCATGTGAGAATTGAACTGGCGGCCCTGTTGCTCAGAGCTCGCGCTCTTAACCCAACTCTTAACCAACTGAACCTCTCGGCTGGCCCGAGCTTCCTGTCTTTAGACTAAGTGGTAAATGCCTGTGAAAAACCCAAATGGAAGTATCCAATAGGCAATTGCATACATGAGTTTAGAACTCAAGAGAAAGACCCAGGTTGAATAGCTAGATTTTATGGTGAGTGGGACATAACTAGTTATTGTAACTGTTGGTGTGGATTATCTTGACCAATGAGATGTGTAGAAGAAGAAGAGACGGCTTAGGACATGACCTTAGGGAACATCAGCATTTAAGGAAAGGTCAGAGAAGGCTGAGAAAGAGAGGCCATATTAACAAAAATGAAGCCATTCATTCCTTTAAAAGATATATATTTATTAAGCCCTTAGTCTCTGTCAAGAGACAGAAGGACCCAGGAGCCAAAAGAGGAGAGCATTTCAAGGAAGGAGGGGTCAACAGGGTCAAATGCCATGAAGAGGGCCAAAGAATGAAGACTACAGAGCTGTTCATTGAATGTGTCAATAGCGGCCTTGATGAGAACAATCTCAGCGGATTGATGGGGGCAAAAACTAAAATGATTGAGAAGTGGATGAGAAGGGGGAAATGGGTGCAGCAAGTATAGACGACTCTAGAAATTTAGCTGTGAAGGGAAGGAAGGCATCGAGTGATCGCTAAATGCAGACAAGGTTCAAGGGGGCATTTAGAATATTTCTTTCTTTTAATTATGGGAGATACTTGAGTATGTGTTTACATGCTGAGGGGGAAATGTCGGTAGAAAAGGAGAGGTTAAAAGTAAAGGAAGGAGAAAGGACTTGAAGACATGTGGCGTAAAGCTCCTAAGTAGCAGATATAGAGTTCAGGTTTGGTGTGTTAATAGTACAGTACCTGCCATGTGCCAGGCACGGTGTTAATGCAAAGGCTACAGTAGTGAGCCCGACAGGCACGGCTGGGCCCTGTGTTCATGGGGCTTACAGCAAAGTGGGAAGGTAAGCCTTGGCTAGGCAATATGGTTGCCTCAGCTACTGGCTGAGGGAGAGTGAGGGTACAGCTAATTGCATCTGTAGAGGTCGCAGAGTTGGTGGAATTCTTACTTTATTACCGCTCTTTTCTCCGAAGATAGCTGTGGAGTCTGCTAAGATGAGCAAGGAATGGTGAGGAAAGGAACTTGAGAAAAGATGCAAGCATTTGAAATAGCTACTTACAGAGACTGGGAGAGGGTACATTTCCAAGCTTGGAGATCCTGAATTTATTAAAGACGCCCACCTGTGGGACGGTGATTTTCTCTAGAAGACCCCAGGAGTAGGAACAGAGTCATCTGAACTTGTCCTTGGAAATAGCTCTCAGATTCATCCATTTCTTTCCACATCCAATGCCACCATCCTTGTCTAACCGTGTCTCTCCCCTCACCCTTGAACTCCCCTATTTTCTTGCTAGATGGTCTCCTTGTCTTCTTGCTACAATAAAGCATTTTGACAAGT